ATCTTGAGACCATCATATACTATTCTGGACACGCCTGACCATCACATTCATATTGTTTGACACAAGCTTGGCTCCTTCCATTGGCAACGAATGCCTGCCAAGAAGGGGAAGGGGCTACCCCGTAACTCTCAAGCCCATGAGGCTGCTGGTCTTACATTAGCGGGCATTATTCTTAGAGTGCCACATCTCATCCGAAGCGAGCAATCAAGGGAAATATGTGGGGAATCGCATTGCACCAGCCGCGAGAATGCGAAAACTGGATTCAGACCATTCGACGCCCCAACATTCATGCGACGATGATAAGTTGACATGATAGGGCCGATCAGCACTGGCACCAAACGAAAGCCTGTCAAACTTGTGCCGCACTTCCTACATGAGTGGTTGTTTCACACGTGATGCTTTTTTCTGGAGGCTTGGATCATGCGTGGAGACAGACTGGACTGAAACCATCTCATACACCGGGAGGAGTTATATAAACCCATCGCACACCTGAACATTAACGCATCCCCCATTCACCGACCTGTCACGCACACGAGATTGAAACTACCCACCCTGGTAAAACAACATTATCTCTGCCACATCACCCAGCCGACGCTTCCATTGACCTGACATTTCATCTCTTCCTAATCTGCAGATTGTATATTTCATCCGGTGCCGATCAAATCCACATTTCATTGACCGTATCCCCGTCAAATCACCTCTGCCGCTCCATATCTCCTATCTCAACCACTCCTCCATCGTCCACCAGGCTTACCTCATCCACCAAGTCCACCTCCCCCTCCTCCACCACCCTATCTACCGTTCACGCCCCACCCACTCCCCCACTTTCTGATGGACCCTTGTAACAACATGGACAACTCCATATTGCACAGGAGGCAAATATGTAAGTCCAACTCCCGTTCCTTCCCATGACCGCTTGAAATGTACAAAACCAACAATGCATTTCACGTCCCGCCTAATAGTGGAGGTGCTCAGAGCCCTCCATGTCGAACGTCGCGCCATTGAAGCCGAACATCAGCGTGCGTTAGACGAAATCAATGCAATTGAACGCAGAACGACTGCAGCGATTATGGCTGCTGCAGATTTCACGGCGGAAATGGTGCGCGGTACGCCTCTTACTGCGGAGGAATGGGAAACAATTGTTCGTAGCATGGATGATCCTGTTAAGAGATTGGAGCGCGTGCATCCCAAAAGCAAGGCACTGTCGGATAAGCGCTTAACCTGCATCCACGCTTCTACTGCGCTTGAATATGATGAGGTTTATGCACCAAATCTTCTCAGCGTTGGGCGGACAATCGGAGCCCCTGCATGTGCAACGCTTCTGGGCAGAAGTGTTGCCACAGCACGCTGCGCCCTCGTTGAATCCGCGCTTGCCAGAACAATTGCTGAACCTGCACCGTGGGAAAGTGATCATCAGGCGCACTGAGGACAAGTTGACCCCAGTTCAATTGGTCAGCTGCGCGTGCAGGGCACTCGCCAAATGATTTGGTTGTGTTGCGCTTGTGGGGAAGACTGGGGCAACTGCCCACCCGCGCAACCTCCGAGATTGGCCGCACAGCCATATTTCCGCCCACTCAAACTGCGGGTTGCTTGAGTTTGTAAACAAGCCTCAATGGCACAGTTGGTATGTTGCCAGACTTACCGACTGGAATAGCGTGACAGCTGGTTCAATACCTCTCCCGCCCAATTTTTTCAGAAGGATCTCGCCTTAACCAACCGCGTGCACAGCGCTTATAGAATAATCGTTCAATAAAGCTTATTCCAAGCGCCATGCAAGCGCTTAAAGAAAGCGTGCTCCCTACGCATTCGCTTACTAGTGTATGCTTTTGTGATGTGGATCCTGCAGTCGGTGCAGATGAGTAGAGGATAGTTTGATATGCTGTTGCTTGGGGGTGGTCATGTAATATGAATAAAGTGACATGAGGCGCAATATACAATGGGCTAATACTCAGCCAGCTTGCTGGGCAATACACTTGTGATGTATTTACCTTATACTTGCTGGGCGATACTCTCGTAAAAATAAAGTACTCAACACAACTTGTCTAAAGCTGGGATATGTCGACACTGGTGCCGAAAGGTCACGTAGCATCCACACGGTCTCCCCATGGGACCCGGCACATAATAATAAAATACTCGTGGAAAATATCTATATCACAGAATCCGTTTGTGTATACATGAAAACTTCGCAAGTTGGAAACGGGGATTTATACACGCGAGTTTGCTAACATTCAGCCCTCCACCTTCCAAAGTCTCACTCTCCCACCTGCTTCCACACCCACCACGTACTTTCCATCTTCGCTCACAGCAAGGCTCTTCACATCTCCCTCCCCAACCTTCCCCACCAATTTCCCACCCATCAAACTCCACCGAAAAATCCCTTCCGTCCGTCCCACAAACAGACTACCCGCCCCAACAGCAAACGCATCTCCAGATCCGAAACTAAATGACGACACAGGTGCAAAATTCACCGCCCCAATGCTTTCATTGTTATCATCCGGTCGGCCAATCGCGTACACGGCCGCAGTAGTTTCTCCTACAACCACCAACCCCGCATTATCCGCATTCCCACCCCCCGACAACGAACAAAAACCCGCAAACCGAGCGCCCCGAACCGTCTGGCTATTATACACCATATTCCCCGTCGCAAATTCCGTCACGGTCAGAAACGACACACCACCCCTCCCCACCATCTCACGAGGCGGCACGGACACAACCGCAAGGAGCGATAGATCGGCTGATATGGCGGAAGTGGAAACCGTAAAGCGTGGAGGCAAGTTCAAGGCGCGGTGGAATTTGGGATGGGTGCTGGGTATGAGGTAATATATTGATGCTGGTGGTGCGGTATCAAAGACGTTGGTTGTAGCGGATGTATTCGTGATAGGTAGCGTAGGTGTGACGAGGTAATGTGCATCGAGTGATATGCCGAAGCCTTGTCCAACTCCGTCTATAGTCCATGGTTTTCGCCTATGTTCGAGGTCATACCATGTGAGGAAGCCCTTCAATGAAGATCCGCCACCTTCGTAGGTGATAAGGTGTGTTCCCGAATGCCCAGCAACCAACATCCTCTCTACACCTCCATTCCCGTGCCTACCACTGCCCCGTTCTCTCCCTGCTCCCATCACGTCAAACGTCTTCCCTCCATCATCATCCCACACTCTCCACCCCACAACCTTCCCACCACTCCCTGCCAAATACACAACCTGCCCATCCCTCGAAAACACCGCATTGGTAAAACCCTTATCCGTCGCAGGCAGGTTCTTCACCAACCGAGGCCCAATTGTGGAATTGGAGTTTGTCTGCGTCTGTGTCGGGGTCTGTCCTACTGGTTCCTGCGCTGGCGGTGTTCGTTTGTGAGTGTCGATGAGTACGATTAGGAGTGTTGCTAAGATGGCTACGGAGGAGAGAACAATGATGATTCGGAGCAGGCGAGATTTAGGATGGGTCAAGGCTTTGCGGATCTTATCAGTGAGGGAAGGAGATATGGGCACGGCATCTAAGGTTATGAGGTTTGAGTTCGATGCTTTGGCTTGTAACGTCGTCGCACTGGCTAGTCGATGAGAACCCTCATCGTCCTCCTTCTCCTCTTCTGCCAGCAGATCTGTACTCTCAAATGGTTCCCGACTCTCATTCCAATGGAATTCAGAGCTTCCCAACCCGGGCTTCCCTGCGGGACGCTCCAACTCGTCCAATACCCGTTGCAGGCCTTCGAAGCGTTGTGATAGTGCGGGATTGAGATTTGTGAGGACGCTGCTGACCTTGGATTCTGCACTGAAGGAAGAGGCGGCGGGTGGGGCAGCAGAGGATCCTTTTGTTGGAGGTAAGGGCATGGAGGGAGTGAAGGAATTGACGATGGGTGGTAGGAAGGGGTCCGCGATACCCATGGATGTCTGCCGAGTGTCATGAAGACTATCGCCTTCATGGTCGTAGGGAGGTGGCACATCTCCAGCTTCCCCTCCGCTGGTCGCAATCCCCAACTGTGCGCGCGTCAATCCATCCGGCAGCACAACAATCAACGCCAACGTCTTATCCATCACCGCCCCCATATCCTCAACACTGAACCACTCCTGCACCGTTCTTCCATCATCCAACTCTACAGCGCCGGCGCCGCCCAAAGTCCGTACCACCCCTTCACCAAAAACACCCTTAAAATCATCACACCTCAACCGCTCATCGTCCGCTCCAATCTTCAATGTACGGACATCATAGATCCTCACGGAAGATCGTTGGTGTAGAGACAACGCCCCATCTAATCCCAATTGTGACAAGACCGTATTTCGTAGATGTGCTAACGTATATGGGGTATGGGACGCACTATGAGTAGGGACTTGAACGATGGTTACTGAGGAAGGAGGGTCGCTGAGTAGGAGTGTTGGGAGGAATAGATCAGGCATAGCGGGGTTAGTGGCGTTTTCCGTCTAGTCAGTCTGTATGAGGCGTGGTGGGGTGTATGCGATAGTTGAACGATGAACAATAAATTCCGAAGACTGTTCGAAGTCTCTGACACTTTCTTTGACCCTTGAATGGAATTTCGGGGGAGACAACGGAGCATCCAAAAAAATGTTGGTAATCAACCATCAACAAAATGGCCATGCAAACGTCACCTCACCGCCGATTCCCGAATAGCAGGACGCGCCTTCGATGCCAGCCGGTGGACCGCGCGGTCGGGCAACGCTCCGCACAAACTCGCCCTGGTCACTGCCACTGTGCAATGCATCAACGGCAGAAGCTGCGAGTCCATCGATGATTCTTTTCTCAACCATTCGACGGATCTGGAAGTCGCCAGTCGTGAACTCCGTGAGAGTTATTTATCAAATCCGTACATAAAACAGACCGGCCCCGCGAACTGCCCCGTCTGTCCGGGGAGCACCGATCATTACTTGCACTCGATTATTACGTTTGCTCCACTCATCCGTTGTGCGGGTGGCCCCTTACAGGGCTTGGTGCGAAAAAAAATATGAGCCAAAATCAGAAACAAAAAAGAGGTGGAACGGGTGCAACAGAACCCAACGCGGGACTCGAACCCGCAATCTTCTCCTTGCAACTCCAAGGTAGGAGGGAGACGCCTTATCCATTGGGCCAGTCGGGCTGTTGTTCAAATCAATTTAAAATGCAATATATGACAGAATTTTCAGAATTTTCAAGACTGTCCGTTTGGACCATGACGGCTCCAGTAAAGAGAGGAGCGCCATGCTCAGTATGCTCCAAAACAATCATTATCAGTGTAAAGGTGACGCAAACCTATCAGTGTAACGCCGCGGCAAGCAAATGTGTCTGTGCCGGACCACTGTTCATTTTCTGTAGGCGGGCGAAGAAGGGAGACACCTTATCCATTGGGCCAGTCGCCCCCCTATTTACCTACATCAACATTTCACGCAATACATCTCGATTACATATCTATCACACCTACCCAATGTGTGTCAGTG